TTCCAGCGTATAATCACTCATCTTTCCAACTTTTCCAGCGTACAATCCATTAGAGTATGTTACCATTCGGTCCGTGCTTCTACTAGGCCTTTACTATAAAAATATGCGTAAGAACATTGACAAACCAAGTCCACTAGAAGGAGAGCGTTTCTATTTTTGTGCACAAAGAACAGAACCAATCAATTTGTTTAGCTAGGCATCGAGGCTCTAGTCAATCCCGGTGACCCGGCACTCATCACCGAGAGACACAATCAAGCTAATACAGAAGCGATGAGTTATTTTGAAAAAGGTAGTACAGAAGCTGGAAATTCATGGATTTAATAACTTCTAGAATTAAAATCGTTCTAGAATCATTTACAACAGATATCTGACAGTTGAATTCAAATTTAACTTGAAATTTAATTCTTAGCTGTTTCCGAATTCTCTAAAGAGACACACTTGGTGGAAACGAAACGAACGCTGCTTTCGAATATGATCAAGGTATTCAGTATGCTGATATATTGAACTATGAAATTCTTATTTAAAAGAAAGAAAGAAAGAAAGAAAGAGAATTCTTATTCAAAAGAAAGCTCCGTATTCTGTTCAGGTCAAGTTCGACGGTCTTACGCGCGAAAACGGTGTCCGGAATTTCGAGCGGAAAGGAAAGGAAATTTTCGAGCAACTCCTTGAAGAGCATATTAGGAATTTGAGAGAGGTTTACACTTGGAAACATTAAATATTTTGAAGAATTGATCAAGTCTAATGATCATTGCAATCATGTCCAATATCTAGTACATCTCAACTACAACAAGCGACGAAGAGATCCCAGTGAACTTGCAGAAATGTGCGGAGACGTTGCAGAGTCGATATGAAACGAAAAAGGTTATGACTTGAATCGAATTTCCTTCTAATATTCAATCTTTTAGAGAGAGTTGATTTTCGAAGTGATGAACACACTGCCGACCGTCTCACCGCAAACAATCTCTCAGATTCTCGACAACAATCGTCAGGCTTTCACAACACCGTTCAAGGTACAGGCGTTTGTGTAAACCCACCTCTTCTGGTGCACTTAATTCTTGATCATTCTTGATCAAAACCGTACTCTTCTACCGTACTTTTCTACCGTACACGTACAACCGTATTTTTTTAACACCAGAAGGAAATAAATGTGCTAGAATGGATGTGTTTCTATTACTAGTCACTCAAAAACAAGTACACCAAATACTAAAAGACAAAAGACTTATTCTTTAACGTATCTTCTAGAAATGTGAAGACGATTTTGTTTCTGAAGTTCGTGACAAATTGAGAATGAAACAATTAATGGATAAAATTGGAAAAATGGAGCAACTTCGGGTCAATGAGAAGCAACGATTTGGAGCACTTCAAGCAGAAACTGAGGCTAAATTCGAGCAAATGAGAAGCGCTTTGGGTAAATGAACAGAATTTAGCAATTCTGTAGCATTTCTCTACTCTTTTTTCAAAAATAAATATTCAGAAGAAGAGCAACGCCGACGCGCCACAGCTGAGTCGAACAGAGAAAACAACGAGGCGATGTTACTCTTAATGAATCATATGAAAGAGAACGATGATCGGTGGGATTATTTTGTCATCTGTCTACCCTTTTCTTTGTGATTCTCATGCCAAGAAACTTTCAACTGAAATAGTAAAAAAAGGGTTTTATTTCTTGATATCTTGATGTTGGCTTAGAAACTGTTGTATTGGGTTGGTGGAAAAGTCCTTTCGGATTTTTTGGGAGAGTACCTTAAATTTGTCCAATTTTGACGTTTGAAAGCTCATCCTAAAGCTGAATTCAAGACGGATCGATTGGTAAAAACCGTTTTGAGATATCTCTTTTCTAAAAGTTTTTACAGCTATTTTAGTAAAGAGCGGGAGAGCCAAAAAATGGCTTTTTTCACGTTTCGTTAGTTTTCCGTGCAGAAACCTAGGCTAAAAACATGTGTTTCGTGATCAGCGTCAAAAATAACCCCTAGACACGCATTTTCAGAATCTTAGCAAAAAATTTTTGACAAATATTGTCACCGGTGGAAGTCGAACCAGCGACCCTCAGATCAATAGCCTTTCCGCCGCTTTTCGCGATTTTCCTTCGTTTTTCCCCTTTTTTTTGTTTCGCAACAACAGCAGACACAAGACCAAGTGAGGAACTTGTTTTAATAGTATTTCAAGTTAAAGGCTCAGGTAGATCTTGTTTCCAGGTTTAAAAATATCCTTTCCTGTTAGGACGAGCTTTTGGCTAAGAGGTTTTAAACCCAAGTTTTCTGACCTAAACTAGACCAAAGTAGAGATTGGCTTTCGGTTTTTTAACAAGAAGTTGTTTGCGAAAACCTTCAGAAGTTTTTGACTTGACTAGGCTCATAGGCTGTTTTCTAAAACATGTCAACCTCTCAACCTTAAAGTGAGCTACCATAATCTTTCTCTCAAACCTTATTTGATTAAAAGATCACTGCTTATAGCCATTGAGAGAGGCTTTTTTTTAGCAACGACGCGTCCTCGAGAATCAGCCTATTCACGAGGATCCCGAGCCAAACGGGGCTGCCCCCGTCGCTCAAATCGTCTACTTTGGATATAGGATCTTGCGGTCGTTGGGATTTTAAAAATATTACTGATTATGTACCACTTGATTAGTATTCACTTGAGGTTAAAATGTGTCAACTTTCAACGAATCCCTTCTCTAAAACGTGACAACTTTTGTAACTAACTTTATAACTGCAACCATAGCCTTGCCTCTATCGGAATCTTCGCTTTACAGTAGTCTCTAACTCCCGCAACCTTGTCTCTACCTTAATCTTGCTTCTACCGTACTCTCTACGCTCCTGAATTTCAATTAAAGATCACTTGAGCATGAAATATTATCATTGCCAATATTGTCATTGTACAGTTTTTCAACACTTTTCTTGATTCACTTTTGTAAAAACCTCTAATTTGAAAATCAGTTCCATTCTGTTTTGGGAATATTCAGCTGTGATAAATTTTTCTTATTTGGTTTTGAAAAGTTATCCAAAAGCTTTATTGGGTTAAAAATCATAGAAAAGATTTCTCAAATATGATATTTTAATTTCTCAAACATAAGAGAATTTCTGAAGCTGATGTTGAGCTGGATTTTGACCTTGATGCCCAAGTGGGACATATCGAAATGAGACATTCTGAAAATCTGTTCTGGTTTGGCTTCAATTTTTCTCAAAACCTGATGATGACGCACACATCTTTGAAAATTCTCATCCAAATATTGCATCAATGACGGAGGGAATTGAATCGACAACCGATGGACGACTTTGTAGGAGAAATCTTGCATCTCCTCGAAACACAAATCGTTCCTCTGAAAAAGCACTGTAGATTAATGGGTGCTGAATGCTAAACCGTGCCCCACGGCTACCGTAGGCCCCCACTTGTCTTTTTTTTCACCGGCATTTCAGTCTAATATCGATTCCTAGTTTTATCCGATTCAACTTTGTCTGATTTGACGAACATTCAAAGACCCGGGTACTTGGATACTAACGAAAACAAAGCGAAAATTGCGCTGCCGACATTTGCGCCAGTTCTTTTGCGCCGGCGAATTTTCGTTTTTGGCTTGCGGCGCAATGTTCGCGGCGTAATCGTCATGGTCCCGTTTTTGTTTGTGTGCGCAAAAATACGTGCGCAAAACACGCTTTTGTGTGTGCGCAAATGGCGGTGCGGTATTGTCATAGTCCCGAAACTCATGGTTGTGGCACTATTTTCTTGCTTCTAATTCTTTTAAACCCTCGCTGATTTGCTCTGTATCTAAGTTTAACTCTGAAATTATTATAGTGTATGTTTTTCTTGCCAAAAAGACCCGCTTTTTTATTATTTATCGCCCTCCTGATTTAAAGTTAGCAGACACATCTCTTTTTAACCATTGATCAACGTTTTTAAATTCTGCTGAGTTAAACATTCTACTAGGTGTTTTTAATTTCCGTGTCGGCTTTTTCAATGATTCTTTTGCATTCGATATAAGTATCATCATCCCACTATGTCACTTGAACGTTTCCTTATTACGAGCTCTGTTTTCATTTTAAATACATTTCCTATTTTAGGTGATTTGTGACTGTCAAGACGACGTAATAGATCTGCAAAGGTTGCCGCCTCTCCCGGACGTTGACCACCACTCAATCAGCTTCAAAATTGTTTCAACCTGTTTTACTCCGAAGGAAAGGGATCAAGTCTGTTTGCATTTTGATTTTGATTATGACAAAGTGGCGGCGTGTATACTAGATCAGATTTTCTAAATCGATCAGATTTTTGTGCCTCCTCAAATTCTATTGACAAAGATTATGACAAAGACAAAGATTGCGCTAGTCTCCTAAAATCGATGGAATTAGCTTGTGGTCATTCTCCTTTAATGACCCCGCCGCACATCTTGAGAGCTAAAAGTAGACGAGCCCATTTTTCAAAACCCTTAAACGACCCTCTAGTTAGTAGGGAACTGAATATGCTGTTCAAATATTATCGTAAATTTGAGGAGAATATTGAAAGAAATGCCATTAAATCGCAAAACGGGAAGTCTTTTTGCACATATATTAATTCTAAAACTAAGGACCCGAACCAAGCTTCAAATTCCTTCCTTGATCCATCCAATTGCTAAATTCTTTCACAGCGTTTGCAATAACTAGAAACCTAACAAACCCTTTCTGGCTTTTCCACCTAAACAGATCCCACCATAAGCAAATTTTCTTCTTAAAACCAACAACATCGAAGCTGCTTTCAAAGAGTTGAGGCTCAAAAAATAGCTTAGTCCAGACAAAATTACTGCTTTTGCTCTAAAGAGACTGTGGAAAATTCTAGGCTATCCTCTTACCTAAATGCTTTAATAAAATTTTACTTGTCTCTGAGGTCTCAACTTAATGAAAACAATTGGCGGAAAGCGGTTTTTTAATTGTTTTTAATTTTTTAATGAGCCAATTAAAAGGCTCAATTGGGCTTTGTAGAGATCCGCCGTGACTCTTTGGCCCGAATCCAGCACCTCAAAATACACGAGACCTTTACTATTCCACCAAATACAAAGCATCACGTTTGTTTTCGTGGATATTCGGTTTTGGAGTCGGTTTTAGCGGTTCACCGGCGTCCAACCACTGCCGTTTTCTCGTTGTGTTGTCGTAACATATCCACTTTTCATCTGACGTTTTCATCGGAGTCGAGAAAACCGGCGGTCTTTGCGGGGCGGACGAGAATTCCAGCCATTGTAACTCGAGCCGCCTTGTTTGCGTCGCTGAGCTGATGTGGCACCCATTTTCTACACCGATTCGTCTTACCAATTGCGTGCAAAGGGCGGAGAATGGTTATATGATCGCAGTCAAACGGCTCTGCAAGCTCCCGAGTTGTTTGGCATGGATCCGATTCGATAGCGTTCTTCAACTCATCGTTGTCGACAATTTGAGGCGGATTCCCGCGTTTTTCGTCTTCCAAACTTTCATCACCGTCTCGGAAGCGCTGAAATCAAGTCCGGAATTGACGTTCGGACAACACGTCATCGCCGAATGCTTTGCACAGAGCACGATGAGATTCCGCAGGCGTTCTGCCTTGTTTAAAATCATACAAATAGCAAACCCGCACTCGAAATTTTTCGTCAACCATTTTCTAGAAGCTAAAAATTACTTCAAATTAATTAAAAGGCATGAGTTCTAGATATCAAAAGACGCGCATAGAGACGCTCTTCCAGATAGACAAATATATTCAATAAAAACTTTGATTAGGTCCAAAATATAAATAAACAAGTGTGAAGGAAGTTTCATCGGCACCAACCTAATAACAAGTTCACAATTCTCCATTGAACGTTTGGAGAAAATTCAGAGGAGATTCATAAAAATCGCTTTATGGAAAATTGACTATTCTAAATATTCTAGTTTGATTTATGAGGATAGACTTGCTCTTTTTGAACTAAAAACTTCACAACATTGTCGCTTTGTCACTGTTCTAGTTGAAACTTTCAAAACCCTCTTTGCAAACAGATTGGCCCTTTTTTGTCGACTTTTTAAATTTTAACCCGAGATCAGAGTCCAGAAGTGGTTCAATAATTTTGCAGATTTCTTTTGTGTCTAATGCTTCTTTATCGGTTTCCCAAAATCTTGCGAAAGTTTAAAGCAGAACAAAACAGAAAGATTGAGCAAGAGGATTTTTTGTGCAAATCTCTCGTTTTTCATTGTTTTTTTTGGGGTAGGCTAGTTTCCGCAACTGGGTCGTTTGCGCAACTCGCCATAACTTTCTTCTAAGTGGCGATAACTTTCAATCTTTGATTTTGGTTTCATTTTGTTGCACTTATTGAGATCTACAAAATGAAATCAAAATCATAAAGATTGGTCCATTTAGAAGAAAGTTATGGCGAGCTGCGGAAACTAGCCTACCCCTTTTTTTTCAAGGAACCGAATAAGTTCTTCAAAAGTTATCGTAAATTTGAGGAGAATGTTGAAAGAAATCCCATTAAATCAAAAAACGGGAAGTCTTTTTGCACATATTAATTCTAAAACTAAGAACCCAAGCCAAGCTTCAAATTCCTTTCTTGATCCATCCAATTGCTAAATTCTTTCACAGCGTTTGCAATAACTAGAAACCTAACAAAGCCTTTCTGGCTTTTCCACCTAAACAGATCCCACCATAAGCAAGGAGGAGAAAAAGGTTTTGAAAAATCAAACTGATTCAGTTCCTTACTAACTAGAAGGTCGTTTAGGGTTTTAAAAAAATAGAACGACGGAAAAAATGGGCTTGTCTACTTTTAGCTCTCAAGACGTGCGCCGGGGTCATTAAAGGAGAATGACCACACGCTAATTCCATTGATTTTAGGAGGCTAGCGCAAAAGAGTCATAACCTTTGTCAATAGAATTTGAGGAGGCACAAAAACCTGATCGATTCAGAGAATCTAGTATACACACCGCCACTTTGTCATAATCAAAACCAAAATGCAAACAGACGTGATCCCTCTCCTTCGAAGTAAAACAGGTTGAAACAATTTTGAAGCTGATTGAGTGGTGGTCAACGTCCGGGAGAGGCTCTTTTTTAGCTAAAAACTTTACAACATTGTCGCTTTGTCATTGTTCATTGTTCTAGTTGAAACTTTCAAAATCCTGCTTTGCAAACAGATTAGCCCTTTTCTGTTAACTTTTTGATTTTAACCTGAGATCAGAGTCCAGAAGTGGTTCAATCATTTTGCAGATTCCTTTTGTGTCTAATACTTCTTATCAGTTTTTGGCGAAAATCGCCTTGATCACACTTTTCGACTTTAGACCTTTGGGTCAGAACAAAAGAGAAAAAGATTGAGCAAGAGAATTTTTTTTGCAAATCTCCCGTTTTTCATTGTTTTTTTTTGGCTAAAAACCCTAAATTTCTTTGAAATTTGAAAAATTATCTTTTTTTCTTTATTTTCATTGTTTTAAGGTAATCAAGCCTGATGAATCTATTGATAATGTTTTTAGAAAGTTTTTGAACAATTTTTATTGATATTTTGATAAGCTAGCTGGAATTTTACCCTTGCAAAGTTAGAAAATGAAGAGAGGAGCAAAATCCAAAGTGATAACTTGTTCAAGTACTGAGACTTGGCTAGGTTTTTCTATATCTTCTTCTATTTTACCTTAAAATAGTTTCCCAGTTAGATCTTTCGTTTTTACCTAGAGTTAACTCCCTCTCGAGTAAAGGAGACCAAGCGCATTGTGGTGTAATGGTTAGCACAGTTGCCTGGTAAGCGAAAAGTCGCGGGTTCGAGTCCCGGAATGGATGGATGGATCACATTGGATGGATTTCCGTGGTCGTCATTTGGAACTAGGGCAGATCAAAGACTTGTGCGCCGCCAAGATCGGGCAACCATTACACCACAACGCATTTGATCTCCCTTGCTCGAGAGGGAGTTAACTTTGCTTTTCTGTGCTTCAAGCGTTTCTCACGAATGCTCATAATCTTGCCTCAAATAAAAACTGACTCAATTCCTCTCAGATTTCAGAGAATTTTTTCGAGAACAACATCAACCATGACGATTCCCGAGGTAAAAAGTGCTGACTTTAACAAAAGAATCAAACTTTTTAAAGAGAATCTAAACTTAAAAAGCTGTATAAACTATTTATTTTTCTTTTTTTTTATTTAATATGCCCAAAGAACGAAAATCACAACATTTTTAACACATTCACGACGATAAGGCTCATCAGGACTAATGTAGTACTAATAATGAAAAATAAGCACGTAAAGCTAAACCGCTAAACGAATTATTCTCAAATACTTGGTTGTAGATGTAACTTTTTATGCGCTATCTCTTTTATTTTGTCATTAAAATAGGTTTTATTAGAAAAAAACAGTCAAAATCGCATCATCGGACCGCGAATGTATAAAAAGACAAATAAAGAGACAAAAAGCTCAAGTCGAATAGATGGTCGATAGATTGGCCAATAGATTGATCGATAGGATACATTTTAATAAATTGGATAGATTTACAGTAGCCTAACAGTTTGCAGTAGGTTTTAGTACATTTTTAGTACCTTGAAATTTTAGTACATTGAGCACTACGATGGAGCCGACGAGACGATGATCACCGTTGGGAAAGAAGACGCGAGAGAGGTTTAAATTTTGCAAGATAAAATCTATATTTTTGTATTATATCTGTATTATAAGATAAATCAAATATTTTGATTTAGAAGCTCTTCGAAGAAATCAAGAAACGGCCGGACTGTGAGCGAGCACTGCACCTCGTTGAAGCCAAGTTTAACCAGGATGTGAGTGTTGAATTCTCCATTCTAAAGCTATTTTTTTAAGAACTAATCACAATACACTGGCTCTCCTAATACAATTATTTCCAGGAAACCCCGAGTGTCACCGGGGTGGTGAACAGAGAGACAAAAGGAGAACAACAACCAGAAGCTTCTTCTGTCCAGTATGGAAATGAGGAAGAGGTAAAGTCAAAGACTAAACCGCGAGTACTTTGGTAGCACTTTGGCTTAGAATTCAAAGGCTTTAGTCCATTCAAGTTACAAAATTCAGCCGGAGCTCAAATTGCTGCAACTCTTCGACATCACCGAAGACGGGGAAACGTATTTCAACAAGGAAGTGCTCGACTCACTTTGCGATCAATGTGGCGATCGATCGGTAGAAAGATTTTCTCTAAATTCTTAACTTATCGCCAGGTATCGGTGATTTCAACAGCTGGGAAATTTCGGCAAGGAAAAACTTTCTGGAATAATGTGCTCTTAAATGGATTGCAGAGGGGAGAAGCCGATTTTGCTCCGGGGGATTTTGTCGGGTTTGGTTTTCAAAGATCTTATAATTCAAGGTCCATTACTGTATTTAAGAATCAAGCTATTGCCAAAATTCAATTTTCCAGGGGACGCGGTCGAATCGAATTCCAACGCGGCTTCAAGCGTCACACCAAAGGAATTATGGTTTGGCCAAAAGTTTTCGTTCGAAAAGATAAAGATGGGAATGAGGTGGGGATTTCTAGGGCTTAGTCTTCTAACTAGGGTAAACCTGTGTACATACTCCAGTCAGTCTTTAGTAATACTGTAGTCAGCCTGGCATCTTGTACTGATACCGTAGCACTACTGTAAGCTGCCTGGGTTACTGTAACAATACTGTAGCTTGTAGCAAGCTAAAGGCTGTACTTTATTACATAACGTAGTTCGCATTCAATACTTTTCCAGCTAGCCGTCATCCTAATGGACACCCAGGGCACATTTGACACTTCCAGCAACTCGGCCGACTCGGCCATCATTTTTGCCATCTCACTATTAATGTCGTCGAACCAGGTACGGGATTTTCTAATCCAAATTCTAGCGATTTAGATTTTCAATATAATGCGTCAAATTGATGAACAGGATTTGGCGGCGTTGAACATCTTCATTGCTTTCAGTCAAAGGAGGGAGGAGAGAGTGGGACAGGTTTGTGAAAGCCTTGGGTACAGTAGAAATACTGTAGCGGTGTTATAGTCGGGCTGGCAGACTGTGAGCACACTGTAGTGATATTGTAGTAGCCTGGAGTACTGTAGAAATACTGTAATCGCCTGGGATATTGTAGCGATCCTGTAGTCAGTCTGGCATCCTGTAATCAGCTTGTAGCCAGTCAGTCTTGCACACTGCTAGTTTACTGTAGCCAGTCTGGCATACCGTAGACAATACAGTTCTACTGGTACATGATAGCCTTTTTGCACATAACTCTCTTCTTTCAGCACTTTCTGATCATGGTTCGCGACTCGATCGCCTCCGGCTTTGACCCTGAATACCTGGAGCAAATGAGGGTAAGGAAAAAGCTGTACTATTATATTACAGTGCTACTGGATGTTTTATTGTACCCTAGTACTACTTCTGCAAAACTATTCAGGTGGACGCTTGCGGCGTCCCCGAAATTGACCGCCTCCTTAATGGAGTCTTTGAAGCTTTCGAGAAAGTGGAATGCTGGATGGTGCCCCGACCATCCATTGAAGTGATCAAAGCATCCGGGAAGATTTTGGCTGAAGGTGGGGTTTTATTGTCCCAGACTGATAGGCTTTAAACGTATATAGTAAAATTTGGTTTATGTTTCATAGCTCTGGTGTAGTAGAAGGGTTGAAGAGTCTAAAAACATGAAACTAACTGCGTGTGGAACTAGAACTAGCCCAAAGCTAGCTCTATGGAATTTCTGGCATTACTTTCTAAACCATGAGTTGGGTCTACCAGAAGACCCGATTTCAAACCTGATTTCTGAACAGACCCGCCTAGTAGACTTGTTAAGCGGGAATCTCGTTAGTGGTTTATCGGGAATTAATGGGAAATGTCAGGGCAAATTTAGAGATATTCAGCTAATGAAAATTTTGATACTTATGGCTTTTACCCATCGCGCCACCCAAATAAATTTATACACATCGCAACTTTGCATTTATTGTCTTCTTACTTGCTTCTTATAAAAACATGGTTTCCGGTAGCAACGAAATCGAGAATTCCGATCGTCCTTGGGTGTCCAAGATCGATCGTCCTTGGCAAATTTCATGGGGTATCCATTGACACATTCCGGTTAGTCAATATCCCTGCACGTTGTAAATGTATAATCACTTGTTCTTCAATTGGTAGATGAAAAAACATCACACCGCACGGAAAAGGAGAATAGAAAATAAGCTAGTTTTATCGAAATGCGTATAATTGACCGGATCTGCATCTGGGAAGTGCAAAGCTGCGGTGGGTAGATTTGGGTGACTAGTCTATTGCCTAGTCTGGCTTGCCATGACCTAGCTAATTCATCCCTGCTCGAAAACGCAGTTAAACATCTTAGTAACCCAACAAGTGTTCACCTCAAGAATGTTTTTCAGATTGTGGCAAGGAATTCTTGGAGATGCTCTGCGAGTGCGCAAATCATGTGCTGGGAAATTTGGTCCCAAAAATAGTGATGGGTACCCCACTCACTGGGAGAACATTGGGAGCATATGTGAAGGTAGAAAATCGACGTGATCACATCTACTAGCAAATCCAAATTTGTTATTTGTCGAGAATCTGTTATCAACTCTTTTTAAAGACTAGATCATCAGCAAAACCTTTAGAATCTCGTCGATCACATTCAATCAAACAGTCACAGGGCTATTTGCTCGGCGTTTGCGGTGAGATTTTTCTGTTTTCAGTAATTTAGTCTTTCAGGCCACCTCACAACTCTTCTTTGAGAAGGCTCGCATCGCTGGGAATGAGACTTTTGAAATGGTACTATTTAAAAACTTTTATTGATCTGAAATAGTTACAATTGTTTCTAGCAGTATATCAAAATTACTAGTATCTTTTTGCACTTACTGAAGCTTTAGCTTGTTCGCGAGCATGGTCATCGCCCGATTCGACCCCGAGAATATGAGGAGGCCTTGCAGAATTTCATTCAACGAGCCATCGAGGTAAAAAAGAATTTTCTGGACAAAATCAAGAAAGACCAAAGCTAGGCCAGAAAACGAGAACAGACCTAGCCTGGTGGGCTTTATTACTTCTGTAAGCCGAAAGGACAGGTCAGCAGCCAAGTCTAGAGGTTTGGCTCAGCTTAGTCGACTGTAAGTCTGGCCAGAGTTTGAGTACTTTTTTGATTTGGAATAAGAAAGAACTAAAAAACTTCAACGTACTGTTCTATTTTACCCGTTCAGGCCTATCAATCGAATCAGCTTTTCGGATCGGCTGAAGAGAAGAGCAAACATTTTGATGACTTCCGAAAGCTGCTTGAGGTTAGATTTCTTTCAGTAGATCGTTATAAAACTCAAATTTTCTTATGAAGTACAACTTCTAGTTTCCAGAAAAGATGCCAGGAAGAGAGCTCGAGCAACAAGGATCGCTATAGGGACATTCAAATGGCGGAAGCGGTCAATGGAGCTTACGAAGTGTACGAGAAAGGAATGAGGGTGAGAAAACTTTCAAACTACAGGGCACCAGAAAGGGTGTATTTCGAGATTTTGAACACAAAATACACTAGATAGTTTAGCCTGATTTTGTCGAGAGTTGGGAGAGGAACAAGAAGGCTGAGCTTGTGAGAGAACGCCACGAGAAAGCTTTCCCCGAAGCGATGAAGCATTTTGACGATGGTTGGTGTTGGAACTACATTTGAGTTTTAAAAACTGCATTAGTCAATACTGGAGGTATCTACAGTAATCAAGATCAGGAATTATACTCCAATTTTTAGTTGTTCAAGACTTTCTCGATGAGCCCGATCTGATCGAGGACAAGCGCAACTGGCTCAACAAGATGATTCAGGTGATTACTGAAAAACCCCCAGTATTTGGACTATCTGATAGTCAGCTAATAAAGCTTTTAAAGATTGGTATGTTAACTTTATTCAAACCCCAAGCTTCAGGCTCGATATGGCGACTTGCAACAAGACAACGCCATTCAGCAGCTTCACCAACAGGTTGACGAGATGTTCCAAGGATTGGTGGAAGAGCATGGGAAAGCGTTGAAAGAAGTAAGTGATTAGGTTTTGATACAAAAATTCGTGTGCATCCAGCTTCCAGAATTTCCTACTATTAGATCTAGAGCCAAGCCAGTCAGCTCTACGCTTGGCTTCTGGGCTATTGTTGACCTGGTTCTGGCTCCTGGCTTGGGCCTTGCCAATCCTAGACCTGGACCTCTGGCCTTACGCGAATTTGAGACAACTTTATCCGAAAGCCCTTCAGAAATTTGAGCTTACAGCAAGTCGCCACAATCAAAGAAGAGTCTGAGATCAAAAAGGCGATCGATGCCTGTCAAGAAATGCACCAGAGAGAGTACGGGATCAAAAAGGTGGCTTTAGAGAGGCTGATGACGAAAACTCTGAAATCTAAACTTTGTATAGCTCTATTCATATTCAGGCTGCATTCGTTGCCGATGTGGTGATCGCTTCGCCTAAAATCTCTCCCGAAATGGTCGAGCGTCTGTTAGACAACTTCAGGGACAGTCAATTGGCGCAATTCAAGGTGAAATCACTTAAAATTAGATGTGAGGAAACTGGAGGCAAGACTACGATAGTCTTATAAAAACTGGCATATTTTAGACGTTAGGACGGAGTTAGGATGGAGACCTCTAGGTAAACTTTGTACTTTAGAAATGCGAGGACAGCTTCGAGATGGAGGTTCGCCAAAATTTAAAAGTCGGCGCGCTCAACAAACAAATCGAGGATCTCCATTTGAAGCAAGCTGAAGACAAGAAAAGATTGGAATCGCTTGAAGAGGAAAGGAATGCTCAAATTGGAGAGATGAACGAGCAATTGGGTTCGTTTTTTTGAAGTCATACTTGACATGGGGAAAAGTATCGGCAATAGAATTCGGATTTTACAATCTTAGCGCTGACTTCTTAAAGTTCCGGTATACTGGGAAATATACATCAATAACTATGCCTCCCAAACTCAACTTGATTATTGAATTTCGTAAAGCTTAGTGAATTTGGTGAATTTGCTAAGAATTAACTTTGACATTTGACTCATCTTAAGCCCGAATCGGCCCCCCGGTTAACCGCCGGAATTTCGCCGGGATTAACTGCTGGTGAAACATAGCCAGATCAGTCATTAAAATTGTGCCATTTCAAGAACTGTATCTAATTGTTAGACAAAAAAGCAACCCGTTTCTATTTTAGTGGAAGAGCGTCGACTCCGTGCCGAGGCCGAGAGTCACGTTTCAAAGATGGAAGCGATGAACGAGAATTCACAAGCGTAAGTAAAAAAAATCCACTAAAGAATCAAGAACCCTTAACCCTTAATTTCATAAAAACCATCTTTATCCTTTTAGTCAGAATTCTAGTCAAAACTTTCTTACTATAAGCTTAGCCAAGAAATCAGTCAGACCTGGAATGCTTGATTCTAAAAGCTATCTTAACATACAATACTTTCATTGTAAATGTAGTTTTTCAACCAAAGTTGTACTTTTTAGCCAAATGGAGCAAATGCAGCATGAAAGGGCTGAGCGAATCGCTCGCGAGGAAAGAGATCGTCAAGAAAGGGAGAGACGATACGAGACAGACATGGAAATGATGAGAATGGTGAGGAAAAGCTAAGCTAATTCTTTAAATTTTAAATTTGTTTACTTACACAACTAAAGCGTGATTTCCAGGAACAACAAGAGCGTACTCGTCGCGACGACGCTCGAGACCAGGAGAGACGCGAAGAGATGAGGGTGAGGGGCTTTTAAGGGGCTATTTTAGTGCTTTTAGACTTGATGAGAATGGGAAACTGACCCAAGAACGGTTGGCAAAACTAGACCCGGACCGGAGATAAAGGCCGGCTTGTTCTGTCTGGCTTGACTTGTCAGGTCGGCTTGTCAACTCAGATTGTCGATTGTCAACAACTAGTCAGCAGGCTAGCATCAAGACTCGGCCCTGGTCCTGGACTTACAATTAGTCGAGTCTTCGACTAGGGTGATACTAGTTTGGGCGCTGACCGGGACCGTACCAGGGTCGCAAAAATGTGAGGACTCGACCCGCTGACCACGAAGACACCTTTTGACTGCCCCAAAGGAGTTCTTTAGTCTACCTGATCCGGCCAGAGGGATGTCTTGAGACTGGCCCTGGTCTGGCCTAATCCGGCCGAGTTTGACCTAATTGGCTAGGATAAGGTTCTTCCACGAAATAGCTTTTAAACTCATCTGCTTAGCCTCCCTGCGGTAGTTTTTCCCATAAAATAGAATCCTCACTTTAAATCTCATTTCCAGATGCAACAAGAGGAGATGGAACGGCAGCGACAGGCACACGAAAAAGAAAGAGAAAGGCACGAGAAGGAAAGAGAAAGGCACGAGAAGGAAAGAAGGAACCGACCTCCGCCACGACGAGGGTGCTCAATTCTGTAAAGAGATATTGTTTTTGACTCACGATCATTGTCAGATCTAGTTTTCAATTCAATGATATGGTTTCTAAAGACTTTTTTCTAATTTTTTCCAATTTTTGTCAAAATCTCGGGAAGTTTTTCATTTAGGATTTTTTTTTGTTTGTTAAAGAGTGTCCCATCAACCGTTGATTATACAGACTAATAAGTATTGTCGCGTGCTTGAACGCGTTCTACTCCTCGAGGTTAGTTTCAAATCTCATGAGTAACGGACCAAACTGTTGCTAAGAGTTTAGGGAATCTAAGTATAATTACATGGATTTTCGGGATAATCACTGTGAAAGATTTAATTGCAATTCTTTTACTTTTCAAAAATGTTGTTTTGCTGAAGAGAATTCTAAGCTACTCATACAAGTAGAATTTTTATTTATTTAGCTAACTTTTTAAATTTTCCGCCAAAATGTTGCCTCAAATGTTTTCTTAATGAAATAATTTTGAATTTTGCGCAAAGTAACGATTTTCAAAAAAAATAGCTCGCATTTTTCCTCTTAAAAATAGCAAAAAGCAGGTGTCTAAAAGCCAACCAAATATGATATTAAAAATCCGTTTTTGACTTTGAAAAAGTTCTTACCAAGATTACAATCACATTTACTTTTGTGAGTTTGATCTTCTGAAAATCCTTCAAAAAAATATTTTACACTAAACTTTTAAAAAACGAGCAGCGGGCAAAGTACTTTTTTGAAAAGCAAAAGAATTGCAATTAAATCTTTCACAGTGGTTGTCTCGAAAATCCATGCGTAGATTTAGATTCCCTAAACCCTTAGCAAATATTTTGGTACGTTACTCATGAGATTTGAAACTAACCTCGAGAAGTAACACGCCTAAGCACGCGACAATACTTATTAGCCACCCTGTAGTTGCATCATGAAACAATTTTGCTATGAAGCTTTTTCTTTGTCATTTTAAATAAAACATTTGCATATCAATTATTTTATAAGAATAAAGAAACAAGCCATGAAAACTTTCAAAAACAAAACACAAAACGAACAAGAGTACAAGACTTAGGGGTTAGACTTTTAAGAATGTTACTGTGAAAGTGAAAAGTAGGTATTTTCTGGAGAGAAAACAAACCTATTGTTTAAACAAAAAATTTTGTTTGACTAAATTTGTTCAAACAATTATTTGTTTGGAAGGCACGCACTCTGGGCAAGATTACGATAGCTTTTGAAAATGGAGATATTTTAGAAAACGCGCTAAACTGATGTGTCCAGTGGGACGAACATACTGTTAACTTTAGTCTAGTTTCCAAATTTACAAATAGTTGCTCTAAATAGTTGAACAAGATACCCTCGGATATTCTCCTTTCACTCTTGCCTCATCAAAGCCAATCGGTGGATGAAGGATTGTCTCGCTTTCTTCAAGATCAAGAGCGATGGGATCAAATGGAAAAAGTTTGCTGGAAAATCTCGATGAATCTCTAAAAACCTTTAGGAGCAAAGAGAGCGCCAATTTTGGAACGCGCAACAACAGCAGGCACAAGACCAAGTGAGGAACTTCTTTTAATAGTATTTGAATTTAAAGGCTCAGGTAGATCTTGTTTCCAGGTTTAAAAATATCCTTTCCTATTAGGACGAGCTTTAGGCTAGAAGGTTTTAAACCCAAGTTTTCTGACCTAAACTAGACCAAAGTAGAGTTTGGCTTTCGGTTTTTCGACAAGAAGTTGTTTGCGACAACTTTCAGAAGTTTTTGCTTGACTTGGCTCATAGGCTGTTTTCTAAAACATGTCAACCTGTCAACTTTCCCGTAATCTACCATAATCTTTCTCTCAAGCTTTATTTGATTAAAAAATCACTGCTTATAGCCATTGAAAGAGGCTTTTTTTTCAGCAACGACGCGTCCCCGAGAATCAGCCTACTCATGAGGATCCCGAGCCAAACGGGGCTGCCCCCGTCGCTCAAATCGTCTACTTTGGATATAGGATCTTGCGGTCGTTGGGATTTTAAAAATTTTACTGATTATGTACCACTTGATTAGTATTCACTTGAGGTTAAAATGTGTCAACGTCTAACTAATCCCTTGTCTAAAACGTGACAACTTTTGTAACTAACTTTGTAACTGTAACCATAACCTTGCCTCTACCGTCAGATCTAGCTCCATAACCTTGCCTCTATCGAAATCTTCTCTTTACAGTAGTCTCTAACTACCGTAACCTTGTCTCTACCATAAACTTGCTTCTACCGTACTCTCTACGCTCCTGAATTTCAATTAAAGATCACTTGAGCATGAAATATTATCATTGCCAATATTGTCATTTTCCAGTTTTTTTCACACTTTTCAACACTTTTGTTGATTCACTTTTGTAAAAACCTTTAATTTGAAATTCAGCTCCATTCCGTTTTGGGAATATTCAACGGTGATAAATTTTTCGTGTTTGTTTTTGAACGTTATACAATTGTTTTATTGGGTTGAAGATCATACAAAAGATTTCTCAAATATAATATTTTAATTCCTCAAACATAAGAGAATTTCTGAAGCTGAGGTTGAGCTGGGTTTGGGCCTTGATGCCTGTTGACCATGTTGAAATGAGACATTCTTAAAATCTGTTCTGTTTTTGCTTCAATTTTTCTCAAAACCTGATGATGACGCACAGATCTTTGAAAGTTCTCATCCAAATATTGCATCAATGACGGATAATGGAATTGAATCGACAACCGATGGACGACTTTGTAGGCGAAATCTTGCATCTCCTCGAAACACAAATCGTTCCTCTGAAAAAGCACTGTAGATTATTGAATGCTGAATGCTAAACCGTGCCCCACGGCTACCGTAGGCCCCACTTGTCTTTTTTCACCGGCATTTCAGTCTAATACATGCCCACTTTACCGTAGTCTAACGTGAATGTCGATTCCTAATTTGATCCAATTAAACTTGGTCTGATTTGGCGAGCATTCAAAGATCCGGTTACTTGGATACTAACGAGGCAAGACGACGATAGTTTTCAAAAGTTTGCTTCAAAAGTTTCAAATTGACCCACTAGCAGAAACTTTAGTAGAAAAGTTGACCCATTTTAGAAAGCATTTTAGTCCAAACGGGCCGACCTCCAGCTCAAAGCATTAAAGTTGAATAACGTGAAAGTCATCAACTTTCAGTCCTTTTAATTTTCCTCTACACGATTCGGCTCAGCATCTCCCAACCTACCGGCACTTTCCTGAAGAACATCATCCACCCTTCTGCGAGACTCCGATTGAGCACATTCGTCAATTCTCCATAGTAGTCATTTTTCACCAAAGTTTGAAGGAAAAACGTTCGCCTCGAGTTCGAGTTCTGGATCAGAATCTCCAAAGTGGCAAGATTCAAATTGGTGACTTTTTCGAAGTCCTAAAATAAATATTCAGGCAGGTTGCTGAAGTTAACATAGATAAATAGATGCCCAATGTACAGGCTTCAAACTTTCCAACCTGCCATTGTTGATGTGAGAATTCCCGTTGAACTACCTGGCAGTCGAGCTCTTTCCTCTGAAAATGAACACAATATGGCAAGCATTTAGCGGTGAAACAGTTAAATTACTAGTGTTTAAGATTCAGATTTGTAACTTTTCTCAACTCCTCTCAACCCACCATGTTCCATCCTCTTGGTTTTTCAGCTTTATTTTTCAAAACATTTCTCTCCTCTTCAGTGAATGAAATGACTCTCTCGATTGGATTCTAAAGTTAACTTTTTAACTGATTCAGTGCGCCAGAAAGTATGCATTCTAAAAATTAGATCACAAAGTTAGTCACCAAATGATTGACTATGGTGCTAAAGGTTCTCTGTGGAGTGTGCTGTGGAGTGAAATGGAAACTCTACCCGGTGAACTGAATACCTCTTTTCCATGTTAATACCTGAAAAATGAAGAATTCAGTGCGCCGGAAAGGATGTGTTTCCATTTGAGCACAAAGCACCCGTCTGCAGGAGGCTAAACTCACCTCAATCTCATTTGCAGTCAACTCGATCCGGAAATTTTCCCTCACAAATCTCCGCCCATTTGTGATCAATAAATCCTTGAATTTCCTCAGATCGCTTTCGGGAAGTTGTTGTTTTTTGTATTTCGAAATGAGATTTTTCAAAGTTTGATTCATTTCCCGCTTTAGAAAGGCGCTTCGATCGATCGATGTTCTCTAAATTTAAAGGTTTTTCTGGATTTGAGAAGAATTTCCACACCTTTACCACCATTTCGAACACTTTTAGTTCATCTTTCACCAGTCTTTCGGCAGCCTTGTAGTCTGAAAGAGAACACTTTTGATTCCAAAATGGAAACACACCCTTTCTAGTACACTCAACTCTGCATTTTCTTCACTTACCGTGACCGTGGTACTTACAAATAGGAATACAGTGACCCTTGCTCTTACCGTAACTTACGCTTGTAAACGCACCCTATCTGGTGCACTCAATGCTTCCTTGAACTTGCGACAATGCTTGTGAAGAATGAAGAATTCAGTGCACCAGAAGGGGTGCGTTTTGAGCACAAAGTACAAGACTGACTCCATGTAGAATGAAGAATTGAGTGCGCCAGATTGAGTGTGTTTTCCTTTAGTATAGAATAGAGAACTAGCCAGTTAGTTAAAGTTTGAAAAACACTGACCTGGACTTGAAGAAATAGTTGGTTGATCGTCTGAAACTTTCGATTCCTGAAGCTTAGCACAATGCTGGTTCACTGGAGGCAGTTGAACTTTGAGATTAGCATTGAATCGATTTTCCAATGCTTTCTCGTTTCGATCCACATTCACCATTTTCCCGTAATCTTCTCTTCCTTTTCTGGATTCCTCTTCGATTCTCAGCCTCAATTGTTCCATTTCAGCCATCACACCTTCAGCTTTCAATTTTTCTTTTCCCATTGGTTGATCGTCTGAAACTTTCGATTCCTGAAGCTTAGCACAATGCTGGTTCACTGGAGGCAGTTGAACTTTGAAATTGGCATTGAATCGATTTTCCATTGCTCTCTCGTTTCGATCAACAATCACCATTTTCTCGTAATCTTCTCTTTCTTTTCTCCTTTCTTCTTCGGTTCTCAGCCTCGATTGTTGCATTTCGGCCATCACATCTTCAGCTTTCAATTTTTTTTTTCCAATTTGCTGCTCTTGTCTCATTTGCGGTACAATGGATTGATTTTTGCGTTCCTCTTGCATGGCTTTCAATGCAGATTCCTAAAAGGAAGCAAATTCAATTCAAAAATCAAGCAAAATCTAAACTACACCTACAGTAATCCTTGGCAAGCTACAGTAGTTTCAAATCTCATTTATAGTAGTCTAACGTACACCAGAAATAATGTGTTTCCAATTTTTGAGCACAAAGTACATGATCCTGATTGCAAGTTAGAGGAATTTAGGAACTTTTTCGAACTGTGCCCAGCTTTACCTCCAATTTCCTCGTCTTTTCCCTCTCGATCTCATCTTTTCTCACTTCGATCTCTCTTTGAAGTGCCATTTCTTCTTCTTTAGCCTCAATTTTCATTTTGATGATCACAAGGGCATTGCTGGCTGTTGTCTAAAGCATTTTCAGTTTTAAAGCTTTACCTTTTCTCTTTGAAACTTACCATAAACATTCTCGTTGCCTCTGGCTTGACTTTTTCCCATTCATCATTACAAATCTCATGTCGAAAACAGTTTTCTTCAAAAGCTTTCATTCTCGAGTCAACTTGACTTTCTAGCCATTTTTGCTCGGGAATTGTTTGGAGTTCGATCTGGAATTGACTTTGGCTTTGCACTGGACTTGAACTTTGGCGTACTTTATGCTCAAAGATTGAAAACTCATCCCACCTTTGCGAGTGTTTCCCTCATTTCGCTGTTCATCTCATTCAGGGTTGTCTGCACGAATTGGGCTTTCAAATAGGTGATCCGGTTTTGAAGGAAATTCTAAACAACAGCTTTTTCAGGAGAAATGTTTGTCTAAGCAATTGAATAAAACCTCCTCACCTCAAGCGTTTGTATCGATGTCTCGAGAAGCTCGACCCCTGCCTCGGCAATCTCTTCTTGTACCCTTCCCGTTTTTTTCATTTCAAGAGCTTCGTCAAGCTTGGAAAGCTTAAAGATACTGTAAGATCGTATGCACTTTCTAAAAGACATTTAGAAAAACCGTGGTGAAGTTTACATTAGACAGCTTCAGGATGGGTTTCTTGGGACGTCCGGAAGGCTAACTTCTCACAGACAACGGACTTGCACTAGTATAGTGCACTAGTAACAGACAACAATACTTCGTATAGTCTTGTACTTGTATTTAGCACAGTGCTGATACAGAATATTATATAGCATAGTACTAATAATGTACTACTTAATAATGCCATAGTGTGCAGAAATATCTTTTCTGTTATGCGATCTTTTCTTGTCACTTTCAAACAGCTGAAATGCGCGGCTTTCAGAGAATTTCTTTATTTCATGTCTATAATGTCTTTTTGTCACGGCTAGCAAAGATTTTTCGATAGCTTTTCCGACTTTCCATATTTCTAACCACTACCACTAGATTTATTGTGTATTGAAAGCTTTTTATAGCAATATTCCTATTTTCTTTCATAGTGCACAGGCGGAAAATCGAACCCGGATCACCCGGCAGGCGAGCGTTCTACCATTGAACCAACTGCACTATTTCTTCGTACTGCAAGATGCAAGATATAGATAGGTCTACCAATGAGCTACATCGACACGTATCCCACGGTAGAGCCTTATGCTTTACGCTAAATATCTTTAGAGCATCAGAATCTAGAGCAAAATCAGACTGAAGCTAACATTTATTATTTTCCCAAAGAATTCCCGGCTAAATTGAACTTTACGGTCCAAAAGATCAAAATTAAAAATTAAAATTTATTTGGTCTAAACTTTTTCCGATCATTATTTGTCTTTTTTTGTCCATAACTAGTCCTATTTCGACTCTGAACTGTACAGTTCAATTTAGCCGAATTCCCCAACCTTTTGTATATTTGTTCTCAATTTTGCGCAAAACTCGTCGCTTTTCCTCCGGATTTCCTTATCATTTTCGACGTTTTTGAAGTCAAGCCGCTTTTCGGATAAAATTTCCTGAAAAAAAACGAAATTTTACAGATTTGCCAAAAAATGTCAAACCTGTATCTGTGCCTCTAAAAGGTTTTTGGCTTCAGGAATATTCCCAGCTTTCAATAACTCGTTTAAACGCTGATCGATCTCTTTCCGAGCCATCGTTTCCGCGATTTGCAACGTTTCTGGAGAGCTGTTCTGGAAATGAAAACATTTTTCCCTCAGATTCTAGATCAATTCATTTCTAAGCTTGCTTAGTATCTAGATAATGTTGTCATCCAACCCACTTTCAAAGCTTTTCGAAAGATTTCGCTGCACTTGTTCATCGCCACGGCCACCGTTGCTTCTTTGCTCAGCTAAAATTTCCTCGATATACTTTGTGCTAAAAAGTTGCTAAAAAAATAAACGCACGCTTTCTGGTGTATTGCAAGACTTGTTTTAGTGTGCTTTGTATTAAAGTTCCTAAACACAACCCTTCTAGCGCACTGAACTCCTCATTTTTCTCACAACAGTGAGTTCCCCAGACTCCTCAGAAAAATGAGGAATCGAGTGCACCAGAAAGGAAGTGTTTAGCCATTTTTGAGCACAAAGCATATCCATGTCTTACTATAATTTTCAAGTACTGTAATGATTATTTGGCTTCAACCAAAAACTCACCACCACAGTCGTTTTCAACTCGGGTGCCTCGTATTGAAGATAGTCGACAATTTTCTGAAAATATCAATTTTTCAAAGGTTTCATTCAAAAGTTATCTACTAACCTGAGCCAAACCGATTTTGTCTTCAATTTCTTTTCCCTGAAAATTCTTGCACTTTTCGATCACCGAGTACTTGATCCGGGCTAAGCAGCTGAGCAAGGCGAAATCTGAAATTTCGAGTTTCCACTAGACTAGACAATTCCAACCGGAACCTAATTCCACCTTCGTTTTCTCAGTCGTGATCAATTGTTCTGAAATTTTGTTTACAAATGGAAATTATCATTCTCTCCTTGTAGACAGAATTTGCAAAGCAACTGAGAAAACGAAGGTGGAATTATATTCGAGTCGGAATTTTCCTATGTCTAGTTGTAACCTTAGTACTTCAATCAGATAATTGTTAAATTGTCAATTGTCAATTCAAATCCCACCTTGTTCTCGAACTTCTAAAAATTGATTCGCGAAACGAACATTATCTGAAGCTCTCGGCGTGCAGAAACACTCGATTTTGGAGAAATGGCGACGAAGAGACAAAGAGATTTCTCGTAAATCCGATGAATTCTCGTTTTCCGCCTAATGTTTACTCTTATAGTAAACAATTTCCTAAAAGGCATAAAGCTACCACAAATCTACCACAAAACTACTGTTTGATCAATCCAAAAAAAACTCACCCAAACACGCTCCAAAAACGCTTCCTCTTGATCCCAATCCGGAGTGTCTCTGACTACGAAAATCAAGGACTAAAATAAACTTTCAATTTTGAAGACTATGATTGTTTTAAAAATTACAAACCTCTGCCAGTTTCCCGTCACGAAAAGCCGCCGATATCTCAACGAACATATGAATGTCGAGAAGATCGTTGCCACCAAGATTTCCCATCAAATTTACGAGCTAAAATTGTACAGTTCTTAAGATATCGTTTAGATAATCTTACACACAATTGCTTTCTACTTTAATTATCTGAGAGTTAAAGTTTAATTTCCTAATTGTCAATGAGACTAGCCGAAAACGCTCGCTTTTCGGCGCTTCTCGCTGGCGACGCTCTTTCTTTCTTTCAAATGACTAAAACTACTGTAGCCCCTGTTAAGCCCCGCCCTTTTTAAATATGGACCTAAAAGTCAGATTCCTCATGGCTGAAAACCCCTAGGAGCAATGAGAGACGGACAGACGAACATACAGACAGACAGACAGACGGACAGACAGACAGACGGAGAGACAGACGAACAGACACACAAACACCTCTCCTGCTTTATATATAGATAATCTGCTAAAAGTTTAACCTGTATGTCTGAGAAAAGAAGTGAAAAGCCGGCGATCCATGCCGAGATTGTCCTCTCTGTTTGCATGTCGAAAGTGCCCTGAGTGTCGAGGAAAAAGACGGCATGCTGAAAGCTTTTTGACTTTAAAGGGCTTAGGTTTACGGTAACGGCTTTCTAATTTTTATTTGTTTGTAAAACATGATTGTCACAGTAATTTCTCAGTACCAACCGTCTCCTTAATGAAAATTGGCCTCGTGAAGATGTGGATTCCCTCGGTGAAACGCTGAAGACCCGATTGGAAAGCACCACTGCAATAAAGGGATAAAGAACCAATTTAGCTTTTACCTATAATCTTATTCGCTAAACTTACTGTATTTTGTTGCCATTGACCCCATTTGTGAGCACGGACATAAGAAAACTCTTCCCCGATCTCGATGGGCCCATCACACTTACGAAAGTAATCTGAAAGTCAAATTTAAAATTTGTGACAAAGCATTTGATTGGTTAGTGCCATGTACAATGCATTCTTTTATACATGATGGTCTAATTTTTAAATTGACCCACCTTTACCCCTCGATATCTCTCATTGGCAAACGTTTCTCGAGCTACTGTCTCGTGGAAGTTGATCCGATTCTCATCAAAGGTCACCAACGGGATCAACGAGTTTTCCTAGATCGAATCAAAAGTTGAGCAACAATTTTATCATAGATAACGACCATTGCTACTTATTTACTGATCTCTTGGCTCTTGGCTGTAATCAGGGTTTTGCTTAGATCCAAATTTTGTGGTTAAACTAAAGACAGGTTAAGCCAAGTCAAAGCTAGACTGATTAGAGAAAGTTAAAGCTAAAAGGTCAACCTAAAGCTGGATAGATCGAGGTTGGACTTTGTAATTTTTGAGCCGATATGCCTGGTGACCTGGCAGTCCTGGCTGGTGCCTGGTGACTTTTTAAACAAGCCTGATTACAGATGTCAAGATCGAAATCAAGATAGCCTATGGTAAGGCTAAATTTGTAAAAACTAGTAAAACTGCTATTTATGAACTAATATAGACTTGTACAAGCAAGAATTCAAATTCAAACTCCAACCTCGTCAACTCCTCGCCTAACCACTTCATCATTGACCATTTCTCTTCCAATAAAACTGAAAAAAATGTTTTACAAGTTTTACAAATTAAAAATGTTTACGAAAAATGTTATCTTGAAAAAGTCAAAAAACTTTTGGTGTTTATGATCGAAAAAAGATTTGCAAAATCGGCTTTGGGCGGAATTTTGTGACACAAGAAAATTGACAGAAAAAAATTGAGAACAAAAGAAAAGATAACGAAAAAATAAATGGGCTAGTTTCAAGCGTTGAAACTTAAACTTTTCTGAATTTTAATCAATTTAGCAATCATTTTTCTCAATCAGCTTCAAAATTGGTTCAACCTTTTTTACTCCGAAGAAAAGATTTAAGTCTGTTTGCATTTTGATTTGGATTTTGATTATGACAAAGCGGCGGTGTGCATACTAGATTCTCTAAATCGATCAGATTTTGTGCCTCTACAAATTCTATTGGCATGGCTTATGACAAAGATTGCGCTAGTCTTCTAAAATCGATGGAATTAGCGTGTGGTCATTCTCCTTTAATGACCCGGCCGCACATCTTGAGAGCTAAAAGTAGATGAGCCATTTTCCGTCGTTCCTATTTGAAAACCCTTAAACGACCCCCTAGTTAGTAGGGAACTGAATAAGCTGTTCAAATATTATCGTAAATTTGAGGAGAATATTGAAAGAAATCCCATTAAATCGAAAAACGGGAAGTCTTTTTGTACATCTATTGGGTTGGGGAGAATGGGTCGGCGCCCAACTTTAAAGGGACTTTTTGCACACATAAAGCCTTCTTTAAACATACGTTTGGTTTCATCAAAAGGATCCACTATTTCTCTACAAAATCACTTTTGAGAGATTCCACAAAGCTTTTCTTTCGTGGAGTTTATGAACTTCCAAACGCAGCTGGTTAAAATGGCAAAGAGTCCGACTCATCATTTGAACAGTTTCTTTCACATAAACCTTCTTTGGTGTTTATATAAAAAAGATAGAGCACATTCAATTACTTAAGTTGCCAAATTTGCAGGAAGATCCCACCAATGGTTTTTTTTCTAGATGACAGTTTGTAGTTTTTGTGAAAAAATGGCTTTTTCTTGAGCGGAGGCGCTGTTTGAATTTTCTTTTAAATGTCATTTTGTAGAGAATTAGTTAACCATTCTACTGATATCAAACGCATATTATTTGACGAAGTCGAATAGAAGTTTTAGACATTTTTTTGATTTTCGGCGCCGACTCATTCTCCCCAACCCAATATTAATTCTAAAACTAAGGACCCAAACCAAGCTTCAAATTCCTCTCTTGATCCTTCCAATCCTAGTGAAGCCTTTTTAGACCCCAAAAAAAAATTATTCTTGAGTTTGCTAAATTCTTTCACAGCATTTCACAATCACCAGAAACCTAACGAACCCTTTCCATCTTTTAAATTTGCTTTCCTTGTTTGGTCTCCCCGTTCACAAGTCTCCATTGAGCGTTTGGAGAAAATTCAGAGGAGATTCATAAGAATCGCTTTATGGAAAATTGACTACCGTATTTTCTCTAATAGTAGTGCACCGCAGCGAGCCGAGTTGATGACTATTTATCGCTTCCAAGCTTTCCCAGAAGCTCAACACTCTAATCCCTCACTAGATCTCATCGTTAGCTACATTTTCCGACCCCACATCGATAGGTTCTTATAAGCAGTTCTCGAGATTTCGAGCAATTTAGACGACGCTCAGGGTGCACTACTATTAGAGAAAATACGGTATTCTGAATATTCTAGTTTGATTTATGAGGATAGACTTGTTTTTTTGAACTAAAAGCTTTACAACATTGTCGCTTTGTCATTGTGCTAATCAAAACTTTCAAAGTCCTGCATTCCAAACAGATTAGCCCTTTTTTGTTGACTTTTTTAATTTTAACCCGAGATCAGAGTCCAGAAGTGGTTCAATCATTTTGCAGATTCCTTTTGTGTCTAATCTTCTTTATCAGTTTTTGGCGAAAATCGCCTTGATCACATTTTTCGACTTTAGACCTTTGGGAAAATCTTGCGAAAGTTTAAAGCAGAACAAAAGAGAACAAAAGAGAAAAAGATCGAGCAAGAGAATTTTTTTTGCAAATCTCCCTTTTTTCATTGTTTTTTTGGCTAAAAATCCTAAATTTGTTTGAAATTTGAAAATTTTTTTCTTTCTTTATTTTCTTGCGTAAATTTTCATTGTTTTATGGTAATCAAACCTGATGAATCTATTGATAATGTTTTTAGAAAGTTTTTGAACAAGTTTTATTGATATTTTGATAAGCTAGCTGAAGTTTTACCCTTGTAGAGTTTGAAAATGAAGAGAGGAGCAAAATCCAAAGTGATAACTTGTTCAATTACTGAGACTTGGCTAGGTTTTTCTATATCTTCTTCTATTTTACCTTAAAATAGTTTCCCAGTTAGATCCTTCGTTTTTACCTAGAGTTAAGCCCCTCTCGAGTAAGGGAGACCAAGTGCATTGTGGTGTAATGGTTAGGACAGTTGCCTGGCAAGCGAAAAGTCGCGGGTTCGAGTCCCGGTGGCGCACATTGGATGAATTTCGGTGATCGCCATTTGGAACTAGGGCAGATCAAAGAGCCGCCACGACTCGAACCGGCGAGCTTTATTTTATCGAACAACTGTGCTAACCATTACACCACAACGCATTTGATCTCCCTTACTCGAGAGGGAGTTAACTTTGCTTCTCTGTGCTTCAAGCGTTTCTCACGAATGCTCATAATCTTGCCTCAAATAAAAACTGGCTTAATTTCTCTCAAATTTCAGAGAATTTTTCGAGAACAACATCAACCATGACGATTCCCGAGGTAAAAAGTGCTGACTTTAACAAAAGAATCAAACTTTTTAAATAGAATCTAGACTTAAAAAGCTTTATAAACTATTTATTTTTCTTTTTTTTCTTATTTAATACCAAATTTCAGCCACAATCAACCACCGAGGAGGCTGTCGATGAGCTCTACAAGCTCTACTTGCTTGACGTCTCGGTGAGTAATTATTCTTCAATATAATTGTTCTATTACTTTGATACTCAATTAATACACCAGAACATAAATGTTTAAAAGTGAGCGCAAAGTATGCCCAAAGAACGACAATCACAACAGTTTTTAACACATTCACGAGGATAAGGCTTATCAGTACTAATAATGTACTAATAATAGAAAATGAGCACGTAAAGCTAAACCGCTAAATGAATTATTCTCAAGTTCTTGGCTGTAGATGTAACTTTTTATGCGCTATCTCTTTTATTTTGTCATTAAAATAGGTTTTATTAGAAAAAAAACAGTCAGAATCGCATCATCGGACCTTTTTTGAACATTCGGCTTCTTTCTAAGGAAAAATGAAACAAAATGCTCAAGTCGAATAGATGGTCAATAGATTGATCAATAGATTGATCAATAGAATACATTCTAATAGATTGGATAGATTTACAGTAGCCTAACAGTTTGCAGTAGGTTTAGTACATTTTTAATACCTTGAAATTTTA